GTAAACGAAAGTCAACCAGCAGCAGTAGTAGGATCCAATCAGAGAACAGGCAGAGGACGGGTAACGTCCTGGGAACTTTGGTGGCTAAGGAAGGCACATCAGGGCCCAAAGTGCTTTGATGCTGAAGCGGCAGAGCAAAAGTCGACGAGAATCATTAAAAGTGCTTATGGCATTGATGCACTATGCTGAGGTCAGTCTACTGAGGACGTCGTGCTATTCGCATTTGGCGCTATGACACTGGATCATTTTAAGAGACTGCACACATTTTGGAGTTACTTGATAGGCTATATAATTGCCACTCGAGATAGCTCTTTAAAAAATGCCAAAATTCAAGACTCGTGGCTGAATAGATTTCGAATATGTCACGACATGCCAGTAATACGCTTCAAAGTGCACTAAAATTTTCGGAATTTTTTTGTTTTAGAGAGGCTGAAGCAGAAAACTTACAAATCTTGGTTTGGTGAGATCAACGATCCTGAGGGATGGATGGATGTCATTATTACTCATATGGCTTCCATCGACAGGACACGGGAATAGGAACGTATCCTCCCCCCCCCCCTCATAGTACAGATGAGCTCGAGCTAAATAACAGAAAGGGTAAATATCCACGTGTCCTCACCCTAATCCAAACCGTAATCATAATTCTAATGGTAACAGTAACCCTATATTTACCCCTTAACCTAATTTCCCCATAGGTTAAGGAAAACCCTACCTGCGTTACTGGTGGATTTTACGCTAAGATTCTGCCGCAGGGGAAGGCACATAAGTAAACCCTACCGCAATGTAGCTTGAAAGAAGCTCGGGCTTCGATGGAGAATGCACAGATTATTTCAATGTTCCTGTACTTAGGTTTCACTGAGCTATCTTGATTCATTATCAACTACCCCAGGTAAAAACAAATATGACACGAAGAGTGTTAAGGGTCATGTCTTTTGTCTGAATTAAAAACTGCAATGGAAATCATAAAAACTTGATTTGAATTGGTCAAGGTTAGAATAGATTTCGAGGTAGACGCCTGTCTTAATTTACTGTTTATGACGGGCGTACGCTTCCGATTATAGCAGAAAGTGTCTAACATTGCAATGAGACAATTTATGATGACCGCCTAACAGATTTCCGAGCAAGAAGGGTGTACTTCATAATGAAACCAGAAGTTCCCGTACACGAAAACGGCTGTGAATCGTTCTTGGGTGGACTCAGGATGTATAGACTGAAGAGTGACCATATGAAAGGGCAGAAAGAGGTAACTTTGAAACAGCCTTGAGTACTGTGTTGAATGAAACGACAAACAGCTACAAATGGCTAGAAGGCAAAAGATAGAAAAAAAATTCAGGCGACGAACTTTTGGTGAGGTTCAGAGCTACAGTTGTCCCAAAGGGCATGCTCACAAAAGGAAGACCCCTTTTGTTCTGAGAAGTCAACAGAT